ATCCCGGATCAGATGTGGATATAAATTTTGTATCCGTGCAGGGCTCTCTACTCATAAGGTTTAGAGTTGGAGGCTTAGAGAATCAGAGAGTTTGGAAAATGCTAAGTATTTCATCTTCCATAAGATCATCTTTATTATTTTATGTTATTTTTATTGGTTTTAGGAACCATATAACTTTATTAATACTATCAAGTGATTATATCTCAAAAATTATATATAAGTAAAAACTGAGAAGTCAAAATCATCTCCTTATCACAAAAAGCCTTCACCAGATTACATCAAACAGAACAAACAAACTCACCAACATTCACAGCAAGTTATAAGACCATATAACTTAGCAATTTTCTCACATCCATAACATCTCTGTAACAGAGGTTGACATCTTCTGTTATACAGGGCTAGCTGAAATTTAACCCCAATTCTGTAAGGTGTTTAGATGCTTCTGTGATCAATAGAAACAAAGGGGTTAGGGCATGAGCCTACAACTGGGAACACCCAGGTTCAAGTCCTTGTTCCACCACAGCCTTCCTGCGTGACCTTGGACAAGTTGCTTAGTCTTTCTGTGTTTCAATGCCCCATCTGTAAAATGGGGATGATAGCACTTCCTTATCTCACAAGGGTTTTGTTAGGATAACTACATTAAAGAATATGAGGTGTACAGATTTTTTCCTTTTACCCCGGTTGGTCTGTCTGTATCCATCCGCTGTGTCTTGTCTTATACTTAGATTGTAAGCTCTTTGGGGCAGAGACTGTCTCTTTGTTCTCTGTTTGTATAGCATGTAGCACGATGTGGTCCTGGCCCATGAGTGGGGCTCCTTGGGGCCACAATAATAATAAATAATGAGGCAATAGGGGCTAGATAAGTACCTTAGAAAGTTTTCTAAGTATCTTGCTTCATAAATAGTGGGATCAGCGTGTGAATTTCTGACCAGAAATGATCACATCTAGAAAACAAACAAAGTGCTTTTGCATTGTTATTTAAAAAAACAAGGAAAAAGCAATTGTTCTTTCTTCAGCTGTTATGTTTGTTTCTGTACACAGGTGAGCAGTAGATATGGATCTAGACAGCGTTTCCCCATTCTCTTCTCTGCAAGCTCTTGCTAAACTGCTTGCTGACCCTCAGGAAGAAGACAGTGATGACAATGACTTCGGGGTGAGTACCTGACAAGAAATAAAGAATTCTGTAGTCCAATGGGGTCAAATGCAGGTCCGGTATAAAATGCTGCAACTCCCATGGAAGTAAAAAGTTCAAGGGCCTGATTCGCCTCTCTCTTGCTGGTTTTACGTTGGTGTAACTCCATTGACCTCTATGGAGTGATTTTAATTTTCACCAGTGCAAGTAAAAAGAGAATCAAACCTCAGAAATTTTTTCAGGTGCTAGACTGATTGAAACAGGAGGAAAATTATTGCAGGGTGGCATTCTACAGAGAGAGAAAAGAAGAAATAATAGGAGAGCTCATGGCCTGGGAACAGGAGAGAAATTGAATGCTCTAGTCAAAAGGAAATGAAAACATGTATCTGAAATAGCCTCAAATGCAGACTTAGCCCTTCCTTTCCCCACAGTGTGCTATAGATGAAGGCATTTACTCCTAGAGACAAATGGCTTCATAGGAAGGGATACAAAGATGCAGTGCAACTTGAGAGTAAAGCCTGTGATAATTGAGGAGACTGAATGTACTAATTCTGTGTGTCTCTGAAACATTTTAGAGATAACTGATCATTCGAGTGCAATAGATATTGTTGGAGGGGATAGAATTGGGAGAGGTGAGTAATCATTGCAAGATGAAATATTTGGAAACAATGATTAAGGAGAGAAACATCTTTGCATTCTTTTATCTCAAATCATTGTGGGACTAGATGACAGTCATGGCATCTGGAAAGTGTACTCTGTGCCCATACTATGCTATTGTCATTGTTGTTGGTATTTTCTGAGTGTGTGTATCAGCAGAGTTACGTGTCTGGCCCTGTTTTGGCCACAGCAGGCTAAGCAACCTACAGTGCACCAAGGAGTCTTAACAACTCTTTGAAAAGTCTGATAGTATCTGTTGTGGCATAAATAAAAATGACAAATGTCTCAGTCCTCCTTCATGACATCGCATCCACTATAGGAGCCAACTGGCTGGCCTTAGAACTTTCTTGTGTAGTAGTCTGCATTTGGGGTTGGATGCAAGTCCCTCAAGATCCACCTTCAATAGCGGAAGGATATGAATCCTCCACCCTCCCTAACCATCCCTCAGTTCTTCTATATCTGCCTTTGAAAGTTGTTATTATGCCTTAACATTTTGTCAGAAAAGAAATCTTGATCATTTGTTTATGTCTTATTAATAAAATGAATAACATCTCTGTGCCAGCAATGGAAAATTGCCCTCAGTGATACCCATGAAGTCTGTGTCAGTCTTTTTGTATGCCATGTAGCTGTAGCCATGTTGGTCCCAGGATATTAGAGAGACAAGGTGGGCGAGGTAATATCTTTTATTGGACCAACTTCAATAAAAGCTATTACCTCACCCATTTGTCAATCTTCTTGGTAATTTGGAATCTTTGTTTTGATTTATTTTAATGTCCTCAGCATGTGAGATGCTTTTATCAAACCAAGACATTTTTATATACATAGCAATGCTACACACTGACTGCCTATTAGCATTATAGTGATTCATCATTTAAAATAAATGCTATTGTCTTGCATGACCGTTGGTGTTAAAAAGATTCTAAATGCTATGATGGGACTGCATGTAGTACACAGAATTGGTATGCAGCATTGTCATGGCAGGCAAAGTGGGGCAGTTTTCCCAAGTGCCCTATAGGAAAGATTCCTCGGATGCTAGTACTTGTGGCTATAAAGCTGTAGTTATGGGGTTCTTGCTTAAATGCAGCACCTCAAGGCCATGGTCTCATGGGTGAGAATGAGGAGGGAAGTGTTACGTAGTGGTTAGAGCACAAGACTGTGACTCAAGACTTTTCATTATTGCCATTGACTTGGACAAATAATTTAACTTTTCTGTGCCTCATTTTCTCCATCTCTAAAATGGGGATGATAATAATACTCACAGGGAAGTTGTGAAAATGTAATTAATGCTTGTAAAGCATTCTAATATAGGTAACTATTGTAGATATTCTCTGATGAACAGTGCTCTGTAAATACAAAGTATTATTGCAAAGTATTATTGCTATTAATTGTTTATTATTATTGCTGATGTGGGCAATGGGAACATTCATGTCAGTTGTATTTGGCTTTTTTTAGTCACATTCTTCTTCTGTTAGCACTGTGGGTCCCGGGAATATCGGACCAGCAAAGAAAGCAGAGCCCACAGGTAAGTTGAGTTGTAATCGAATGGTGTCAGCAAAGACATGGATCCACCATTACACTACCATAATAAAATAGCTGTAATAGCAGCTGCCTCTGACGCAGCTCGTCTCAGCTATGACTGAAGGTGGTTGCTTTCCTCTTTGTTGAGAGGGGAACAATAATATTTTACATGTACATTATATGGCATTTTTTAACCTGAAGGGTTGAAACACTTTATAAACTCTATACATACAGTGCCACTGAAATGTAGCATCTCTCAGATGGAGCGTGTCAGCCACAGAAGACAGCACATTGCCCTGTTATGGGGCAAGGGGAAATATTGGCAAATGTCTATTCTTACAAAAAGTGCTGTGGAATCTTTAATGCTCACACAAAGCAGACAAGAGCTTGGTTTTTAGAGCTCATCTTCACATAATAAACTGTATGGAACTCAGTTTATCCACCCAATAAGGAGGAGAAGCTACTACCTCACCATGAAACCATAGACACCTTCCTCAACCCCCCCCAAAAGTCACACAAACCCGTTTAGAAAAAAGCTTGAGAGAAGAACTAAGCCTTACTATGTGCCCTGAAGATCACCAAACTCAAACTGTGCCAGAGCAAGGGGAAAGGAAATTCCATCCCTCATAGAACATGCTGCCTCCAGTCCTCAGTTGGGAAATTGGAAATTGCAGCAAAAGTGCTGACAACTCCAGTGGTCACACGTAAAGAGAGAGACAGCTGGAACCTAAGCCCTGTAGGGCCTTATGCATTAGTGTCAACACCTTGAATTGCATCCAAAAAAAAAAAGAAAGCCAGTGCAGTCTTTGCAGAATGGGTGTAGTATCCTTCCTGCTGCTAACACTATCAGACAGTTGGGCAGCTGCATTATCCACCAGCTGTAGTATTTGCATAGTCTTCAAGAGTGGCCCAATAGCCGTGAGTCATTCCAGAGGTCACAATGACATGGAGAACTGCAGTGAGAGCTGTGTCCAAAAGAAACAGTCGCAAATATAACAAAGATACTTTTCAACACTGTTTCTGCTTAGGAATCCAGAAACAATCAGGGAGCCAAAAGAACCCCAACCTGTATACTGGATGAAGGGAAGACACATCCCACCAATAACAGGGGTAGATACCATCCCTGCCATATTCCCTACATGCTTTTCCCCAGTGTACATCATCACCTTTGTTTTTCATATCCCCAATGATTTATGAAAAGGACCGTGATATATTGTGCTGTTTATAAATGAGAGGAGAAAGGGGATCACTTTACAAATCATTTCTGCTCACTTAAAATCCTATTTGGAGAAGTCTCAGTATCCCGTAATCCCTTTAGATTTCACCCATCCCAATTTGAGGAATGTCTGATGTTTTGTGACGTGTAGCAGAATGTTCCCTGACTTGTTCCACACAGGATGGGCAAAAGAGAGTAAAGTTTATGGAAATAAAAAAATCTCCTCCTTTTCTAAATCTCCACTTAGATTGTGGCCAAGTAGATCCTAGGGAGACTAGGAATACCTTGTATCAAACAACCACACCATGGTTAAACACAGCAACCCTAGAAAGACAGACCTATACTAGAAGCTGACAGTATCAAATTCTCTCTCCTAGTCACCCCTGATGTGAAGTCTGGAAATCGTAAAGATATCTGGAATACAGAGGAGGTGCCAGAAGGATCAGAGTTTGATGATATCTGGGATCCAAGGGAACAGCCAGAGTAAGTGTAACAGAGCTAAAACTGTGTGCATGGGTTTTGTGTAGCTGAAATACAAGCATGTTCTACGTAGCATATATATTGTGTTTACAACAAAACTTGTGTCATGGAAGGGCAGAAGGGATGTACACTAGAGGTACATTTCACTGCAAAGTAAGCCCAGGGTTAGTGGGACATGAATCAGCTGACCCGTGTTAGGGAACCTTGGGCTTTGAGCATCTACATTGTATTTTAACCCTATGTTAAGTCTTTTCTAAGCAGTGCTTGAACCTTGGGCTCTGGCATCCACATTGCAGTGCACAGTCCCAAGTCAAAGTAACCATATACCAGAGTCCTTAATGCCCCAACTCCCCCAGCTCTAGAACTGTGGTGCAGTGTGGGAAAACTTTACTGCCCACCCTGCACATTAACAGGAAGCATCTTCCTTTGCAAAAGGCTTGATCGGTTTGCTCTCCATTGCAAACCCAGGAGGCTCTCTGATAGTATGCTTGCAGATCGGTGATCAGAACAGAATGGGTTAATGCTAACCTGAGCTGCTGCTGTTTGCAAAGTGTGGGTGGCTTCCATTTTCGATAGAGTGGATTATAGACTGTTGGAATAGGAAGGCCTAATGAAATTGTCCCATGGAATTGTGGGATACTGACTCCCAGGACCCAAGTCAAGTGGGGCTGGGTCTACACTGCAGAGTAATAGGGCTTGGGTCCTGGCTTAACTCAAGCTTGGACCCTTCAGCCCTGCAGGGTCCTGGGGCCGAGCCCTGGATTAGCACAATTGCAGTGTAGATGCAAGGAGGGTTAGGTTTGGGCCCAGGCTCAAGCCTGAGCTTATGTTGCAGTGTAGACATATCCTGATGAGCTTTGCCTCCAAAGCAGCAACAATTAAAAAGTGACTTTAATCTCTTCTGTGGAGGAGACCTTCTAATCTCATTACTGAAATTTGGAGCCTGTTATTCCTGTTATAAGATTATTCCCAGTGTCAGATGCTTGTGTAAAGTAGGATTAGGAGGGAAAGGAGGCCAGCGCCAGAATTTATTAGCCTTCATACATGCCAAGTTTGTATAGAACATTACTGAATTTACCTGCTGCTTTTGTGACAGTAAGTGAGAGTTCCATTCTTTTGATAATGCTGTACTATATGGGGGAGGGGGTTGGATTTATATTTATATTTTAGGGAATTAAGTGCTTTAGAGGCAAATACCTGCTGTCAGAGGAGTATTTTACAGGCAATGTTACTTTTCTAATGGATTGCATTCAGTCAGAGATAGATTGTAAGAGGACAGCCTAAAAATAGTAATAGACTTCTTCCTTCCCCACCTCAAATAAAGCATTCTTAAGTAGATGCTGTCACGTAGTTTAGGTTGTGAAGTGCTCTGCCGTGATCTGGAAAATTCTCTAGCTCCAAGGGGTCAGATAATCCAAAAGGTAGCCTTTACATTTATCATCACAAAATATTGCACCCCGAGGGCCAGATCCTCAGTTGGTGTAAATTGGAGTAATTTAATTGAAGTCAACAGAGCTACACAATGTATACCTGATTGAAGATCTGGCCCAGAATTTCCACTTTTCTCTGTGCATAAATACAATTAGCCACTCAGTTGCCTGATCTAGAAACTAGGCTGAGTTTTCCCCTTTAAAATTAGACCTTAAAAATGAACATTTTTGACAGCCCTCTGTTTAGCCTCCACTTATGCACCCACATACACTTGTGCGCAGATTTTTATTTAAAACTATGACTTTTATTGTCCTATCGAGGTAAGGTAAATCTGTCCAATGCTGATATGAACCAAACTATCTGGACCCATTCAGTCTCTGCTGAAGGAGGTGTGGCTTTTCTCTAGCCCTGAGCAATTATGTACTGTGTAGCACAGATAAAATGAGTATAAATCTTTGTAACAGTTCATCAAATTAATGCATGGAAAAAGCCTTGAAAGGTAAATCTAGAGCTATTATTAGATAGATTTTACGTTGACTGAGAGACTGGAATTGTGTTACATGCATGCATGACCGCTGGAGATGAAAAAAAAGAGCTTCTTTCCATACAACCTTTCAACAGTCTGGAGAAATTGCTCTATTTATTTTGCTCAATTTACTAAGAGTGTTACATGTTCTCAATACAATCTTCAGTTGCGTTTCCTCATTCATTAAAGACCAACAGAAAGAACATAGAATTCCAGATTTTGCTGCATTCTGAATTAGACAGACTGATTTGGAGAGAAAAAAAATCAATGTTTGTAAAATGGAATATCATTAAAATTAGCAGAGAAAGCTATGTTATTTTTGGGCTCTAGGAGCCAAAATGATGGACAGGAAGTTGTTTGCAAAATAATTACTTGACTGCATCCTTTTCAAATTTTTCCCCCAGGGGTCTATCTAGGAGGTCTAGGAGATAAATATCACATCCACATGGTTCAATTTCCAGCCCCAGTGTCTTATTCCCTGGTCCTGCAAAGGCTGATTGTGCTGTGGAGGCAGCATGCCCAGCATCTGGTGACAAGTGAAGGGTGACTCATTGTTCATCATGAGCCCTCCAGCCAACTATGAGAGACAGTGATGGTTATGAATAGAGTCCAAAGCCAGGTGTCCCTTTGAAGGGCATGTAAAATGGAGGAAAATGGGGAATCCTAAGAGTGTCAGCAGAGATAAAAGGACCTATATTCCAAGAGGAAACAATATTATACTCTTCTTCTCTTGCCCCCCCTTAACATGGAGATTCATACAGGGTTTGATGACCAATTTTGTCTCTGCTAGGTATGAGATTTTATTCAAGCAGCAGGTAGGAGCGGAGGACATCTTCCTGGGGATGAGCAGAAAGAACCCTTCCACAGCCTGTTGCGAGGACATGCTGGTGAGCATGACCCACATCTCCAGTCGCTTCTTCCCCTTTCCTCACTGTCTCCTTCAATGTAGCACATAACTACACAGCAGTTCTATTACTGTCTTTGGAACTATGCAGGATCTGCTAAGTAGATTTCAGTGAATCTGCCATTGCCACTGACCTGTACTGGCCTGAGTAATCATGCAGCTCCTTGAGAGCCGGGTATATTCAGAAAATACACAACTTGCCCAGTTCTATGGGCCAGGTTCAGACTTGGTGTAAGTGGATGCAGGTCCAACTGGATGTTGCACCCACTTATGACCCTGTGTGGTTGGGTTTTTTTTTACACTTGCATAAACTCACTGAAGTGATAGTGCAGTTAATGAATAGACTGTCACCGCCAGGTTGTGGGTGGCAGATCAATTAGTCAGAGCCATAGTCACGAGACAGGAATCAGCTGCATCAGGTTACCGGGAGGTCAGAAGTAGGATACAAACTGGAGATCAGCAACCACAAGTCAGATGCCAAGAGTCAAGCCAGGTTAAGGTGCCAGAGGAGCAGGATAGAACTCAGTTGTTCAGACAACTTCCCGTTCCTGCTGCTGGCTTAAATAGGTCCACTGGGCCAATCAGCTGATCTGGGACTCCACCAGTCGGTGCTCAGAGGCAGAGCCTCATACTAGGGCTGGGCTTCATGCGGCCCAGGTAAGCTACTGTTAGCAGGCTGCCAGCAGGAGGGTTGGAGTGTGGCTGCTCCCATGAACCCTGTGGGTCATAGCACTGTGTGAAGTAGTGGAACGTTACAACATTGTGACAGTCCTCAAAGTCACATGTATCTGAGCCTCTCCCCTTATTATACGATCAGTGACCTCCCTCATCTGCAGCATTCATGTGTATTTTATTCTAGTTGGTGCAAGGTGCTCCGGGCCTTTACCAGAGTAGGGGCTTTAAGTGACTGCAAAAGATCTTTCACGTAGGCTTTCAACTCTGGATTTCTGTAAAGGTTAGGGGTATCTGCAGACTTCATGAAACCATTGAAAGAAATTACTACTTCATCTTTCTTCTGATAGAAATCACCTCTGCAAAATGCTGGCTCTGATCTTCTATAGACCATAGTACTGCAAAGCTCATCCCAGTCTCCAGTGCATCTCCGGATTCCCCCTGCCATTACCTCTCCCACCCTTCTGTCTTACCTGTACCTGTCTTTTCAGATTAAAATCAAACTGCCAGATACAAAGTCTTCAGACATTACACTTGACATCCAGGACAAGATTCTTGACCTTCGAACCCCAAAAAAGTAAGTGAAGCAGAATTGTTAAGTTTTCTCTCTAATGGAATTTAACAAAGGCTTCAGGGGAATGATCAGCAGCATGCAAAGGTGATGATGCAGATGTGTTTATTTAATTGCAAAGAAAAAATACAGATAGATGGAAACCCAGCCATTATTAATCTGTTAGATTAATAGTGGGCTGAGTTTGGGGCCTTGTAGCGAAGCAAGACTCACTGGTGCAGCACCGCCTGCTGGTCATCTTGGGAATTAGCTCTTGTCCAGCCCAGAGCGCCCTCTGCAGGCCGGTGTCTTGCCTGCCTTCAGGCCCCCGTGTCCCTCCCGGACCCCAGTGCCCCTTTGCCTAAGGTTTCTGCCTCGCAGTATCCCCACACTCTGGGTCTCCCCTCCCAGGGGAACCCCCAACCCTCTACACCTACCTCACCTCAGTGGCTACTGCCAGTCATCATCTAGCCCCTATTCACTGGGGCAGACTGCAGTGTAATGGCCACTTATCATTGGCAAGAGAGGTTTGGACCTACCACCTTTCCCTGAAGCCCAGTACCTCTGAAGGCCTTCCTGTCAGGCCGCAGCCTGGGAGGTCGCCAGGCCTCAGCTCAGCCCTGTCAATGGTACCCTTTGCTCCTTCAGGTAGCTAGGTCCATCTCTCTCCAATGCTAGAGAAAGACTGTCTGCCTTCTCCCCAGGAGCCCTTCTTATACTGGCCTAGCCAGGCCCTGATTGGCTGCCTCAAGCCCACCCATGATTGGCTCCCGGGGCAGCCCTTTCCCAGGGCTGTTTTAACCCCTTCAAGGTCGGAGTAGGGTGACCACCTCACTACAGGCCTGTAACAGGGTTCCATGCCCCACCCCTCTTCCTGGGGCCCGCTTACTGCCCCCAGCTCAGAGAGGCTTCAGGGTTGTGAAACACCCAGGTCTTTATTTATATAAGGTTCTCCCACCACCAGTGTCTATCTATATACAAGTCTTGCAGGATTAGTCACCTCCTTTACAGGCAGAGTCAGCCTTCAGCTAGGAGGCCTCCAGTTCCCTCCCTGACTGACTTCTCCCTGGCTGCCCCCCACCTTTTGGCTCCCTCCCACCCTTTATAGCTCTTGGCTTGTCAGGCCAGCAGGTGTTGCCAATCCTCATGCCACCATCAGGCCTTTTCCATCAGCCCCAATCTGCTTCCCCTGATTGGAGCTGATTGGGCAGGGGCTAATTAGGTGCTTTTGCACCAGCACCCTGCTACAAGGCCCCTAAGACTAACCTCTCTGGAGACCGCTATAATCCTTCTTTGACAAGGACAGCCTTAAAACAGCAAACCCTATGGGCCAAAATTGTAATCCTCTAAAATTGGGCCTACAGTTCTGAATGCCTACTTGATTATTTGGCCACAAATGCCAAGTGTACATGCATACAGCTGTGTACACACAAAGATGGAGGGCCATCTGCAAGTGGATCCAAGAGGTGTGATCTGGATTAAGGCCAGAGGAAGGTTGTCTCTAATAGGCTAACTATATAATACCACATAAAGGGCCAGCTTCATATCCTTCCAAAAGTATTTCAAGCTCTGCATAACCTTTATATACAGAAATCAGATGTTTTCCCTGTCTTCCACCAACAGGTTAAGTGTTTTGGGTATCCATGATTAGTAGGTTGAACATATACACCCAGCTCATACTCTTCCCTATTGAAAAGATCCAAACAGCCCCAGTGTTTATTTTTAAGTTGATACACGAATACACAGAACATCAAACCACATATTTTGATAAATACTAAAGAAAAACTTTATTTTAAACATTAAAAATATAGGAATTGCCACCCTGGAAACAAAAGTCCATAGGGCCTTCTGAGCACTGATCAGACCCACTGAAGTCAATATAGTTATACCAGGGATGAATTTGACCAAAAGACCTATGAATACTGGAGGGTCACACTAAATTAATGTGGCCACCAAATTTTCCCTTCTGAAATGCAACACTAGCCTTTGGAAGTGATGCCAGTCGAAAAGAAGGAGAAATGCATATTAAGCCAGCAACCACTGGCTAGGCAAAAACCCCTAGTTGCAAAATCAGACTCTAAGTATACACTGCAGATGTAGGGAAATCTCAACATGCTGTTTCTCTTGTGATCCAGTTTCTTTGGTGAGTCAGGGAATTGCCATATCTTCTTTGCTTCTAGACATTGCAAGTCCTGAATCCAGCAAATAAAGAGATTCTCAGTAAATCTAAAGACTGTATGGGGCACTATCTGAGCTAGTGTTGATTTCCCAAGTGTAGATGCAATTCCTTGCACTATGAAAGAAAGTAAGATTTTCGGTCCTATATAGAATCATAGACTTTAAGGTCAGAAGGGACCATTATGATAGTCTAGTCTGACCTCCTGCACAACGCAGGCTACAGAATCTCACCCACCCACTCCTGTATCAAACCCCTAACCTATGTCTGAGCTATTGAAGTCCTCAAATCATGGTTTAAAGACTTCAAGGTGCAGAGAATCCTCCAGCAAGTGACCTGTGCCCCACACTGCAGAGGAAGGCGTAAAACCCCCAGGGCCTCTGCCAATCTGCCCTGGAGGAAAATTCCTTCCCGACCCCAAATATGACGATCAGCTAAACCCTGAGCATGTGGGCAAGACTCACCGGCCAGACACCCAGGAAAGAATTTTCTGTAGTAACTCAGATCCCACCCCATCTCACATCCCATCACAGGCCATTGGGCATATTTACCGCTAATAGTCAAAGATCAATTAATTGCCAAAATTAGGCTGTCCCATCATACAATCTTCTCCATAAACTGATCAAGCTTAGTCTTGAAGCCAGATATGTCTTTTGCCCCCTCTGCTCCCCTTGGAAGGCTGTTCCAGAACTTCACTCCTCTGATGGTTAGAAACTTTAGGGTACGTCTTCACTACCCGCCATATCGGCGGGTAGCAATCGATTTATCCGGGATCGATATATCGCGTCTCGTTAAGACACGATACATCGATCCCCGAACGCGCTCACCGTCGACTCCGGAACTCCACCAGAGCGAACGGCGGTAGCGCAGTCGACGGGGGAGCCGCGGCTGTCGATCCCACGCCGTGTGGACCCCAGGTAATTTGATCTAAGATACTTCGACTTCAGCTACGCTATTCGCATAGCTGAAGTTGCGTATCTTAGATCGATCCCCCCCCACCCCCCCAGTGTAGACCAGCCCTTAGTCTAATTTCAAGTCTAAACTTCCTGATGGCCGGTTTATATCCATTTGTTCTTGTGTCCACATTGGTACTGAGCTTAAATAATTCCTCTCCCTCCCTGGTATTTATCCCTCTGATATATTTATAGAGAACAATCATATCTCCCCTCAGCCTTCTTTTGGTTAGGCTAAACAAGCCAAGCTCTTTGAGTCTCCTTTCATAAGACAGGTTTTCCATTCCTCGGATCATCCTAGTAGCCCTTCTCTGTACCTGTTCCAGTTTGAATTCATCCTTCTTAAACGTGGGAGACCAGAACTGCACACAGTATTCCAGATGAGGTCTCACCAGTGCCTTGTATAATGGTACTAACACCTCCTTATCTCTACTGGAAATACCTCGCCTGATGCATCCCAAGACCGCATTAGCTTTTTTCATGGCCATATCACATTGGCAGCTCATAGTCATCCTGTGATCAACCAATACTCTGAGGTCCTTCTCCTCCTCTGTTACTTCCAACTGATGCCTCCCCGGTTTATAACAATAGTTCTTGTTATTAATCCCTAAATGCATGACCTTGCACTTTTCACTATTAAATTTCATTTTATTACTATTACTCCAGTTTACAAGGTCATCCAGATCTTCCAGTATGATATCACAGTCCTTCTCTATATTGGCAATACCTCCCAACTTTGTGTCATCCTCAAACTTTATTAGCACATTCCCACTTTTTGTGCCAAGGTCAGTAATAAAAAGATTAAATAAGATTGGTCCCAAAACCAATCCCTGAGGAACTCCACTAGTAACCTCCCTGACAGTTCACCTTTCAGCATGACCTGTTGTAGTCTTCCCTTTAACCAGTTCCTTATCCATCTTTCAATTTTCATATTGATCCCCATCTTTTTCAATTTAGCTAATAATTCCCCATGTGGAACCGTATCAAATGCCTTATTGAAATCAAGGTAAATTAGATCCACTGCATTTTCTTTGTCTAAGAAATCTGTTACCTTCTCAAAGAAGGAGATCAGGTTGGTTTGGCACAATCTACCTTTTGTAAAACAATGTTATATTTTGTCCCAATTACCACTGACCTCAATGTCCTCTTCTTATTTATATGGCTATAGAACCTTTTACTATTGGTTTTAATTCCCCTTTCAAACTCCAACTCTACATGGCTTTTGGCCTTTCTCACTTTATCTCTACATGTTCTGACCTCAATAAGGTAGCTTTCCTTGCTGATCACTCCCATCTTCCACTCCTTGTAGGCTTTCTACTTTTTCTTAATCACCTCTCTGAGATGCTTGCTCATCCAGCTTGGTCTACAATTGGTCTGCCTATGAATTTTTTCCCTTTCTTGGGATGTAGGCTTCTGATAGTTTCTGAAATTTTGACTTGAAGTAATTCCAGGCCTCCTCGGCCTTTAGAGCCACAAGTTTTTCAGTCCAATCCACTTCCCTAACTGCAAATGCTGGGCACAGCTGAGGAGCGGGAGCACAAAGGAACTGTGTGCAGCTCTCTGGTCCTGGGGCTGGTTCTGTGTCACTCCACTGTAAAGCTGCTTTAGGCTGCTCTGAACTATGCCAGCTCCCAGTGGCCCATTCCAGCAGCCAGGGCACAGGGAATTCAGACTACACCCCTCTTCCAGCGACCCCTACTTCAGCAGAGGGCCAGGATGGGCATGATGTAGAACCAACATGACTTAGAGCCTAGTTTAGAGCAGCCATGAAACTATGCTGACTCTATGTCAGCCAAGGATTCCCCCACGCTTGGAGTAATCCTTGGCTAGCCAGATTCCCCTGGGTTCAAGGTCTCTTGTGTCATTGGGGTGGCCAAAGCCTTTAATTAGGATGCTCCTATTATTTTTCCTTCATTGGGGAAGTTAGGTTACTGCTCCCTGTGCTACATTTTCTTCAAACACATGTTCAGACTGTATGCATTATTCAGATTTTTACCACTGTGACAGCATTGTGGATGTGTCTCATTCTCACTCTGCATCTAAAATGCACCACTATGCAGCAGCAAGAGCTGTGAGAGGCCCAACAATCCAACACTGGAAATCTTTGTCAGAGCACAAAGCCAAGAGCGTGTTGAGAGAGAACCAGATTTGGAATTATTCGAGGGCCCACTGGGGCAGATCTCCAGTAGTTCAGTGAGTCCCACGACCTCACACTGTCCCACCACCTCACACTAAATTAATATGGCCCATCACATTCTGGTTTCTGAATAGCAAACACTAGCATGGCGCTAGTAATTTGCATTCCCTTCTCTAGTGTCTACTTAGGGCTGAGGCTGAAAAATCCCATTTCCTGTTTTCTAGGAAGCTGCTACTGCATCTCCCCCACCCTGTGGACAGCAAGAATGGCAAAGCTTGTTTCATTTCAGAAAAGGAGACCCTGGAAGTCACCTTGAGGATGAAAAGAGAGTTTGACTTCATCAATTTTGCCTAAGGGAAAATGGGGAATGTTTTCAAACAGTGATCTATATGTCTACCTGATTGATAGCCAAACGTTAGCCTATTCCCCTTGGGAATGGTTCAGGAAGGATAGATCCTTCCACTGCAGCTCCTAGTTGTGCAGTTAGGCAGTGTGATGAACCACCCCATATGTCTATTGGAGGTGAATAGGAATCAGAGGTGTCTCTGAGCAAGTATAGTATAGTATTTCTATCTTTGTGCAATTCTATCTCTGAGCTTGGGATCCCAGCCTTACCATATAAATTCTCAGAACTTCTGAATTTTTTCTGAACTCATCTTGGTGAGTGAGTGTGACCCAGAACACCAGGTGTAATGGCCAATGGAACAGGACTGCGAGACACCTTTTCTGCCTCTTAGATAAAATCCTGCAGAGATCATGGATGGAGATGATCCCATCTTTAGCCTCTCATGGAACTCTACTGTTTGTTGTGCGGGATTCCCAGGTCAAGCTTGATCTTCCCCTGTTAGATAGCACTCATCATTCCATATCTCAGAAAGGAGATGCCCGTGAGTCCTATTGACTTCACTGAGCTTTGGATTAGGCCTTAGATGGTAGTGCATCACTTGGTCCAGAGGGCAGGACCAAGACCAGACATATATATTTGGTTTGAATTATTTGTCACTGGGTTGCTGCTGTTAATGTGATGCTGTAGTCTACACTTCATGAATAATTAAAATGTTACTCCTACTCTAACTAAAATGCTTGCATTGACACCTTTTTGGGGAGATCGAGCCCTGAAACCAAAACATATAATGGCTGGGAAAAAATGGGACAAACTTACTCGGTCAGTTTGGTTTCCAAATCTTGTAAAGCGCCATCATACTGAGGTTCAGTTTTAATTTACAGATAGGTTGATTCATTATAACAGTGTGCATATTTGTAAAGTACCATTACGTTTAAAAATAGGAATGTAAGTAATTTCAATAAACAGATTTGAAACATGCATAAAGATATAAAAAATATTGAGGAGAGTCATGCAGTTGGTGTTAATGCATTTAAATTGGGAGTATTTTGATGAGAAAGGGACTTAAAATACTCCACAGGGAAAGATACAGTATACATTCTATGTCCCAGATTTAGAAGGCCTCTTCATAGCATCTGTTCCAAATAGGAAACCTGGCCAATCTGCAGTATTTAAATATATATTTTCATGTATACTATATGTGCAACAAATGTCATTATTTATAGAACAAACATGCGGAAAATATATGGTGTCTTTATGGCCGATGCCATGTTATAAACCCTCAGTTATTCTATTCCTCCGCTTAGGCCAGGAATGGAGAGGAAGATGGAATGGTGGTGTTAAACCATCTGTGCTTCCTGTGTTCTGGGGCTTTGCAAGGGGCCTGCCTGATGCCCAGGCAAGCTAGAGCAGCCTCGTGGCTCCTCTAATTTAAAGTCTGCTTACCATGGTCCCCGAGAATCTGAGAAGAGTAGATTATAAATTCTTTGGGACAGGGAGTGTCTTTTTGTTCTGTGTTTGTTCAGTGCCTAGGACAGTAGGCCCTAGTTCATGAGAGGGGCTCCTAGGCAGTATTGCAATACAGATAAATAACAACAGTGTAGTGCTCTCTGGCCACACCTCCAACTACCCTCCAAATGCCCTCTCCCTGAGGGGCTGGGAGTGGGCTAGCACGGAACGCTTATTTCAGCTCTCCACTTGCCACGTAGGCCTTCTGTGCTGTAGGGGGCCATTTCCACCAACTTCAAGGCCCCTTGGAGTAGGCAGGATAATGTAGCATGCACTTTATTCTGACTGTTGAACCTCTTGGCTTTCAAGAACAGTTTACTGAATTGTGTGGTGCAGTGTTAGCTACCCACCCTGCCGTGCCTCCACCTCTACCCTGATCTGTCTTATTAAACATGGAGGGAGGGATAGCTCAGTGGTTTGAGCATTGGCCTGCTAAACCCAGGGTTGTGAGTTCAATCCTTGAGGGGGCCACTTAGGGATCTGGGGCAAAAATCTGTCTGGGAACTGGTCCTGCTTTGAGCAGGGGGTTGGACTAGATTACCTCCTGAGGTCCCTTCCAACCTTGATATTCTATGATTCTATGAAACGGGAAGTACATGCTGTATTAATTGTGCCGATCTCCTCCTACCTCTCTCCAAAGTGGGTTCCTCTGTGTAGCCCTGGAGTATCTTCCAGAGACACAGCAGTATGTACTCAAGAAACACTCCTCCTTCACTAGCAGCCAGACCAATAAATCCTCGTAACACTCTGCAGACGTGCGCTGGAGTTAATCATCCAAGAAGCAAACAGGTATCTACTCCATTATTAGAGTAGAGAGAGGACAAACTGGACCTGGGCTTTGATGGATTGGATATGTTTAACAACCAAGATCTTGTAATCAGTTTAACAATACAATGTCTTGGGGCTGCATGAAAGTGGAGGAAAGTGTCTCCGCTGTGACCAGTGCTCATGCAGCTAATTTCATGACAGGTTGTAAAGGGGAGATGGATCCCTCATGATGGAGATGACACACTGCCAATGATCTCCCACGAGAAGCATTTTCTGTTGGATCAATGACAATTTGCAGCCTTCAGTGTATGTCTCTATTAGGCTGCGTCACATCCTAGGAGAAACTGAGGTGTGTCAAGGCTTTTCAACCACTGCCTTTAAATTGGTCCCTTTGCTGAAATCCGGGTAACAGCACCCACTGCTATAGTGTTAATATTTTGTCTGGAAAACAAAGGAAAATTGCAGTTTAGAGCATCTTAACTTCTGGCAAGGCATAAGGGCCTCCTGAATTTCTGTTTGCCAGAGGACTTCAATAAATCACACCATGCACTGGCTCCAACTCTGAGAATCAATGCGCAAGGAGATTGTGCTCGTGTATGAGAAAGCTGAGATCATTATTTCTGGCTGACTATATACAGGCTGCCGCTGCCAGAAGTTACAGCACCGGCCCTTCTTGGAAAAAGGCTAGCTTTGTGGTCATTCGACAAAATGATGCTACCTCTGTTACATAATAGGAATTGCGTTTATGATAGGGCTGTCAAGCGATTTAAAAAATTAATCGCGATTAATCGCACTGTTAAACAATAATAGAATACATAGGTTTTCTACATTTTCAAATATATTGATTTCAATTACAACACAGAATACAAAGTGTACAGTGCTTACTTTATATTTATTTTTGATTATAAGTATATGCACTGTAAAAAAACCAAAGAAATAGTTTTTTCAATTCACCTAATACAAGTACTGTAGTGCAATCTCTTTATCATGAAAGTTGAACTTACAAATGTACAATTATGTACAAAAAAACTGCATTCACAAATAAAACAAAGTCCACTCAGTCCTACTTCTTGTTCAGCCAATCGCTCAAACAAGTTTGTTTTTACATTTGCAGGAGATAATGCTGCCCACTTCTTGTTTACAATGTCACCTGAAAGTGAGAACAGGCGTTCTCATGGCACTGTTGTAGCTGGTGTCACAAGATATTTACCTGCCAGATGCGCTAAAGATTCATATGTCCCTTCATGCTTCAACCACCATTCCAGGGGACACGCGTCCATGCTGATGACAAGTTCTGCTCGATAACGATCCAAAGCAGTGTGGACAGATGCATGTTCATTTTCATTATCGGAGTCAGATGCCACCAGCAGAAGGTTGATTTTCTTTTTTGGTGGTTCGGGTTCTGTAGTTTCCGCATCGGAGTGTTGCTCTTTTAAGACTTCTGAAAGCATGCTCCACACCTCGTCCCTCTCAGATTTTGGAAGGCACTTCAGATTCTTAAACCTTGGGTTGAGTTCTGTAGCTATCTTTAGAAATCTCACATTGGTACCTTCTTTGCGTTTTGTGAAATCTGCAGTGAAAGTGTTCTTAAAATGAACAACATGTGCTGGGTCATCATCTGAGACTGCTATAACAGGAAATATATGGCAGAATGCAGGTAAAACAGCAGGGGACATGCAATTCCCTGCCCCCCAAGGAGTTCAGTCACAAATTTAATTAACGCATTTTTTTTTAAAAGAGCGTCAAGCATGGAAGCATGTCCTCTGGAATAGTGGCTGAAGTATGAAGGGGTATACGAATGTTTAGCGTATCTGGCACGTAAATACCTTGCAATGCCAGCTACAAAAATGCCATGCAAATACCTGTTCTCACTTTCTGGTGATATTGTAAATAAGAAGAGAGCAGCATTATCTCCTGTAAATGTAAACAAACTTGTTTGTCTTAGCAATTGGCCAAACAAGAGGTAGAACTGAGTGGACTTGTATGCTCTGAAGTTTCACATTGTTTTGTTTTTGAATGCAGTTATGTAACAAAAAAAAATCTACATTTGTAAGTTGCACTTTCATAACAAAGAGATTGTACTACAGTACTTGTATGAGGTGAATTGAAAAATACTATTTCTTTTGTTTATCATTTTTACAATGCAAATATTTGCAATCAAAAATAATATACACTTTGATTTCAATTACAACACAGAATATAATATATATGAAAATGTAAAAAACATCTAAAATATTTAATAAATTTCAATTGGTATTCTATTGTTTAACAATGCGATTAAAATTGCAATTAATCGCGATTACATTTTTTAATCGCAATTAATTTTTTTGAGTTAATTTTGTGAGTTAACTGCAGTTAATCGACAGCCCTAGTTTATAAGAATGGAATGTAGCCCCAAATATATACCCATTTGGAAGCAGCAGTCACTCTGCTTCACTCTCCATGGTGTTAATTACAGAAAGCTCCACTATTGAAGGCTTTACACTTTTCCAGGACTTTTCAATACATTATAGCATATTGACAGCCCGGAAGACTGAAGCTCTCTATCCACCAGGATGAGTATGGTATGAGCAGCAGCTTTGTCAGTTTGCCCTACCACTGTGATTCAGTGCTGACCTGGAGGAACCAGCTCTAGCTGGCCCATAAAATCCATAGCCACTCTGCTAGAACTGACAGCGAGGGGGACGGGGGCAGTTTTGATCATCCTTTTTGTAATATCAACACTTGCTCAGGAGGATCAGAGCTGAGAACCACCAATTTATTTCAGAGACGCACTGAAGATCCTCCAGACAATAAAGGATATTTGGTCACTGAAACCGTAGGACAGATTTGAACTAGTAGTGTCCGAAGGCATCAAGTTCTACTTAAATCTTTGATTTACTGGTACATTTGTTATTAATAACCTCTTGGAAGTGCAAGACTGCTTTCAAATCCATGAGGTGAATGTGTTTTTATTTGCTGTATTGGTAACAGAGTAGATCCCTATTTGTCTGGAGGCTTCTGTGTACAGTTTATCATCCCAATCAAGTGCATTTCCCTAATTCTGAACAGAAACTACTTGAAGTGGCTCTCAAATTCTCACATCCCTCCCATCAAGGGTGACAGAGGCGTGCCACTGATAGAAGGGATTTTTCCACAAATTGAGCTGAAATGCAATTGGACTGGAGGGACAGAGGTGTTGCCAAGTCTCCGAGAACTCTTGGGCTGCTGTCCGCCTGAAGGGGTTAACTTTAAGCAAGGACATTATCGAAGTTTTGCTTTACTGAACCAGCACCTGCACTGCAGAGATCTTTCAGAAGGGACACAAAGCGTCATTTACCTCTGAACAGCACAGCCACTTACCACTTCATCACCTGCAGGCATCGGCATCGTCAGTAACCAAAATTACCAGCCCAGTCAAACAGCAGCCCTA